GGGGGGGGGGCGGGCTTCTCATGCTATACAACCCCAACCATTAGAGTTTATGGTTTAATGTACTTGGCAGATCAAGCCAATGATGCTTTCTTTTCAGCAAACTCTGGTCCAGGATAATGTATGGACCCAGGAATTATTGGGCTTGATTGACAGATAATTTGACCTAGAACAAAGGATGTTGCCTTCACTGGAGTTAGATCCTTGCTGCATTTAGCTGAGTGCTCTTGACTTTTACTAGGTCATATCTTGACTTGACAGGGATGGGCTATGGAGTTTTCTTCAAGCAAAACAGGCCTGCTAGCACAGATCTGTGTCTTACTTTCCAAGGGGATGTGGTCTAAGGCAGTTTTCTGTGTCTCTAGTTCATTAGTTCATTTTCATTTTCCTTTGCAGTCCCTGAGACCCATAAGCTATATGGGTCATGAACGATCTGCCCCCCCCTCATTCCCCCCCCCCCCCATATCACTTTCTCCCTATGTTCTATGTATCAGGATACTGCTCTTTATCTGCAATTTCTTGGTGCTAGTGTATGCTAAATATTTCATGGGAATGTTTCTACAAGGCTTTTCATATAACATTTATGGCTCATCTCAAAAAACAGCAATGCACAGCAATAGGAAAGCTGTGAGTACATCATATTTTCAGATTGTTTTAAATTAAATATGCAACAGATTTGGTACTCTGCTCTTTGAAGATAAGCTTCTGCTACCTGCTTTATCAAACAAACAAACCAATAAAATGCACTCATGATGATAAATTGAAGGACTGAGCTTATTTTCCCCATATATTCCTGAATTAACTTTGTCTTGTACTTCTCTTTTGAAAAAAAGGATTAAATAGGACTACCATATCTGGGTTGCAAAAATTCAGAGAACCACTAGATGTCAGAAAACAGATACAGTAAATTCTAATTCTTTGCTACAATCTAGTGGACTTCTGGATGTTTGCAGCCCAGCTATGATAGTCTTAGATTTTTTTTAAAAAAAATTGTAAAATCAACAGGTATTTTATTAATGGACAGTGTATTACATTTTGCAACACAGCTTTTTCTAACCCAGTGTTTCTCAACCTTGGCAACTTTAAGATGTATGGACTGCAACTCCCAGAATTCCCCAGCCAACATGGCTGGCTGGGGATTTCTGGGAGTTGAAGTCTACACATCTTAAAGTTGCCAAGGCTGAGAAACACTGCTCTAACCTATCTTCAGATATGTCAAATTACTGTTCTCACCCAGAAAGCAAATAAATCTGAGTATGATGAAATTGTAATCCAGCACATCTGCCAGACTTCACAAAATGACTCTTTCTCTTGCTTATCTGTTCATTCTGTGAACAGCCAAAGATTAGTTAACTTCTCTTTGGGTTGGGTAACAGGGAATAGAATTATGTGTTTCCTGATTAGGGCTTCATATTCTTCTTTTGCCTATGTCTGTTCTTGCATCTGCCTGATTAGTTAGTTTATCACTCAGTTCAGTTCTTCCTTGCTAACCAGTTTCCAAGAATTACACAGTCCTTCAATTCATATTAATGTTCAACTTTCTTTTCAGAGGCAACTGCAGAGTGTGGTCAAAAAGGTCAAGGTGGTACAATTGAAGCTCCACTGTTTTTTATGTGAGTTGCATGGGCATTACACATAAAAACACAAATCAACTTTGCACTGTGGTGGCTGCCATCTTCTTTGGAGACTTTTTTCCCCAAATAATGTTATTGAAGATTATATAAAACAGATAAATCTAATATAAAAAACCAAATACAAAAATACAAAGAAAAAGGAGAAGAAAAAAAATCTCTCCACAAGAAGAAGAGGAGGAGGAGAAGGAGAAGGAGAAGGAGAAGGAGAAGGAGAAGGAGAAGGAGAAGGAGAAGGAGAAGGAGAAGGAGAAGGAGGAGGACCCCTTCATCCCCAGCAAGTATGTGCAACATCTTTGGATATCTTTGACCATACCCTGTAGATACCTTTTGCACAGACAATGCATCAAAGGAGGATGAGATATGATGGGGGAAGGAAGGAAGGTCTTGCCTCTAGAATTGATGTCTGGATCTGTAGGATCTGTTCATGGCCTTTGACTTGTCTGACACAGATTTTGCATGAGAGTTGTGTGGTGGCAGGAGTGTAGCGCTCCAGGGAAAAGGCACAGTGAAGTGGCTGCTTGTTGTTGCGCCACACACGAGAGAAAGGAACTTCCTAGAAAAGAAGGGACAGGGAGGGAAGTGGGTTACAAATTGAGCAAGTGAAAGAACAATGCTAACAGTGATAAATGCTAAAAAAAAGTCTTTGGAATAAACATGTTTGCTTTGAAGGAATAAGAGGCCACTGTGGATAGGGATGAGGAGTGGCTAAGTGAGACAAGGCATTATGAAGTAACTATATGTTAAGTGAGCTGTGGGTTTTGAATCTTTAAACCACAACATGTTTGGTAATTTAAGAGCATTGCTGTGCACACTTTACCAAACAGCTGCTGTAGTATATCTTGAAAAGTCCCTAATTGGTGGACATAATGCAGTAACTGGTTGACAAGCATGGATGATGAGAAAGCAGACTGGGGAAGTCCTTCCCAATCTGTCCTCTCAATCCTTCCCTTTCCCAGATGCTCTGCACCATCCCAACTTATTTTGCTGCTTTCTTTTAAGGAAGATACACAATGAAGCACTAGGCTGCAGCTGCTTACTATATTTTTCCCCTGAAAACTGCTTCTGTGAGCTGTGTGGATCCCCGAGACATTCTTTGAAATAATGATGGAGTTAGCCTTTTTCTTCACAGCATGCCAGGTTTCCATTTTAAAATCAGTAGGGGCAGGAAGACAGACAGGTATTGACTAGCACATAGGCACCAAATAACAAATAATGGAAAGATGATAAAAGAAGGCATGTATAATGAAGGTCCCAGGTTTGATCGGGAGAAGCTTCAGGTGCCAAACTACCCATCTTCAATCATCATCATCATCATCATCATCATCATCATCAATCAATCCACTGCAGTGAAGGCCTTTTTGCTGAACATTATGGACTGTAAACCACCACTCTGGTTCAGTGTAGGTTGATAGATAGATGTCTTTCAACTTTCCAGTCAATGCTGGGAGACTGGCCTAAAGTCATCCAGCTGACTTCTCTATCTAAGGGAGGAGTGGAACCCAGTCTTACAGCTCCTAGTCCCACATCTCAACTATTATACCACACTGGCTCTCACCCAGCTTCCATATACTTGAGGTTAACCAAGTTGGGAGTAAATTACTTGGGTCATCAAGTTGCAAGGAAGAAATCATGCTGAAAGGTTGATCTGCTTTCACCCTCCTGGATCTTTTGATGTTAAAGTCAAAGTGCCCTAAACTGCCCTCTGCTAAGCTTTACCCTACAAAATCACAACAATCACTGTTCATCTGGCATGGCAGAGGAAGTCTACCGAAATGTAAACAAAACATCAAGTAAACAATTGTAGCATACACAGCAAAAGGAAGCAAGCAACAATATGTAACTTATGAGTTTCCTTCCAAACCGCTGGTTCATTAAAACATACCCTCTCACACAAACACACACAATAGCCCTTAAGTAAAGCACTGTGTTTAGAACCTGTTTTAGTAAGTGAGAGCAAGATACCAATTGTGATAAAGAAAACAATAGAAGCAACATTATAAAGCGGAACTGTAATTAGTTTTCTCTTTAAAAATTGTCTTTTTTTTAGATGGGAGATGGGAGATGGCATTTTATATGGCAGATGGGAGGAAAAGAAGAGAAAGGGAAAGTCACTGAAGCTGGGAATTATGCTGTGGAAGGAAAATATATGGTAGGCCTCATGGAAAATACTGAGTTAGGTAAAATCTTTCAGAATATTTGCTACAAGTCTGTTTTATTTCTGTTTTAATTTGGGCTGTCTGCATTGTTCTAAGCTAAACCCAAAAACTAAATTGTGAATAATTTGTTCTAATATAGTTAAAAGTTACAATCCACTGTTTGCAAACTTAATTTAATTATTTCACAATAACATTTTAATTTTTAAATATAATTAACCCCTTAGTGTCAAGTCTCTTGGAACTTTATTATTATTTTTTATTCTTGTTCTTGTTATGATAGCAGATAAAAATGAAACCTACCTCAAGCCAAGCTGGACTTAAATGGAGAATATTGTTATTGGAAAAAGTCAAGAAGTTGTTTACTATTCATTTTTATGATTTTTTTCAACTTCTTAATCTATTTTACAGTTCTGTTCTACTATCCAATTACTAACCATAACTGGCCTAGCTTTGCTTCTCAAGATCAGCCAAGATGACATCATCTGTTTCTTTATCTGACATCTTTTTTTTTAACCAGTTGAATGCCCAAATCTCCACTTCTAGTGAAGTGGAATTTAATCCTAAATATTTATTCTAGGGATTGACTATACTAGTAGAATTATACATTCCAAATGTTCTTAGTGTAGACTCTCCAACGTGCTAGTCAGGAGGATCTGAAATCATGTTCTCCAAATCTTTAATAAATTTATAATCTAATTAATAGATGTCTTGGACATTTTTAAAACAGTTGAAGTAACAGTATCTGATGGTTTAAAAAAGTTAGATTTTTTTTAAAAATCACATCCTGGAAATTCGGCTTGTCCATAAAGTACCAACATATTAAACTATACATTTAGTCCAAAAATCTGTGCACCATATTAAGAGAAGCACTGAACCTCACAAAGAAATAGGCCTTGAAGGTTTGAAATTGCCTGGTTATTAAAAACAGAAAATATACCCATCTGCTCCACACACATATTAGTCTCAATATGCAAATACCTGACATGCTGTGAATGGTTTGATTCTCCAGAGAAAAGGGGGAATATCGAGGACAGAGATCTGAAGGCTGAAAGTATTCCCTTTGAAATGCAGCAGCTTTGGTTCTTCCAGCAACTGTCCTCCCTGGTGTCTTTCACCTGAAATCACATCCTGCGATGGAGAATGGAAAATAAACAAACACTTAGTATGCTAAATGTTCAAAATTTTCCCTGCATAATGATGTTGATGGGGGTGGGAGGAGAGCTAGAATTTTGTTAAGGCCCCATTCTAAAAGAAAAACTCCCATGGATCAATCCAACCTTCCAAATCCAGTTAACAAATTACTGAAGTATATCAAGAACTAGCCTTAAACCAGTTGTTGCTGGGATCCAGAATCCTACTGACTTCTACATATGTTAATGGATCCCTGGAAAAATTTCATTTCAAGAATGATTCTGGATCCCAGTTGGCCTCTATACATTTTCCAACATAACAATATTGGTGGTTGGACCCCAGTTCGTGAAATCCAGGTATGAAACTTTCCTTGAAAAAGACTTTATCTTTTTGTGGACACTGCTCCAGACAAAAGGCAGAGGAAAGTAGTAGTAGTGGGGAGTATCTTGTAGCAGTGGAGACCGGAGAGGACAATGGGGAGCATTCTGGTATGTAGGTACTTTGGGTAGACTTACATCTTCCACTGCAGCCATTTCTGAATGGTCACACTGCCGATAGCAGGCCTTTTGTAGGAGCATCTGTGCATGCCCTCATCTTTCCAAATGCACGCAAAATCTTGGGACCCCAGCTCTAAGAATTGTTACACACCACTGTCAGAATCATAGCATTTTAAGCTCTTTGGTGATTCAGGGTCCATTAATTGGTCAGACCTACTTCCTCCTCCTTCTGCCAAACTCAGAAGTATGGACAGAAATTCTGGAAATGCCTGAGGACAATGCTTAATTTGGGGGAACAAGCAGAGGAAGGTCATAGGAAATCAGGTAATGATGTAAAATGCATGCTGTCATGCTTTATGTTCTCTGTATGAGTATATATGTGTGTTTGTATGTGTGTGTGTGTGTGTGTTTCTTACATTTCATACACTTCTGGGTGTTTTTTTTCATAAGTGATAAGAGCTATTGCTCTTCTTTTAAATTAACTATGTCTTTTTCAGGCTTCCCGTACAGTTTTTGTGCGCTTCCCATCTCAAAGAGGCGGGAAACCAAATCACAAAGGTTTGAGAACTTCAGTTGCAGAGGATGCAAGAAAAGGGGCTTTGGGGCCTCCAGTTGTCTACCTCTATTGAACATCATGCAGGGAGCCTCAATTCTGCAGAGAATGAAAGAGAGTGTAATTGCCCAGTCTCTCTGACCCAGGAGATTATTCTACCCAAGTCAGACTGCAGCCTCTACATTCAATAGATTAATTGTTAAACAAGATTGCACACACCATTGTATGGATATAATTTCTTAATTTCATGTGATCTTTTGATGTTTGATTCTTCAGTGTATTGTCTTTCCTGGATAAGAAAGCTATTGGAGGTAGACTATCAAATATTTGCTTTCTGCAGCTTGTGGATGTTTCTAAGGGCTTTGCCAATTGGGAACTGGAGAATGTCTGCTTGGTTCTTATTTCTTTTCAAGCTTGGAAATTCTATGGATCCTTTTGTTTAACAGTTTCTTTATTTCGTGCATGAATTGTTCCAAGCCCTTGGCATCCAGATGCCTTGTTGAATACTCAGAGCTCATTACTCCTGATCGAATACAGAAGAGCTGTAAGCAGGAGCTTGGAAAACCACCAGAATTAAAATATGAAAACCATGAAAACCGTGCACTGGACTGTATCACTTTTGCTTGGATAGAGCTACATCTGGTTTTGAATCTCACTATTTACCCAGGGAAAAAGGAAGGCATTTAATGCTGGGAGAAATGCCTGTTAGGACTAAGCTGCACGTCATGTTCAGTTATGTGGAACTTTCCGTAACCTTTCTGCTTCTTTAAGAAAAAAGGGAAAAGATCTGGCAGGCCATCTTTTGTGGCAAACGACCAGGTATAGAGGATACACTTAACATCAGAATTCTTTTGTTCAGAATAAGCCACCACAGGTTTCAGGCAGATTTTGAGAAGAAAAACAGAAGAGAGCCAAATACAGTTTTCTACATCCCCAACTCTGATTTGCACCTTTATTTTATTTTATTTTTTAAGAGGGCAAAATTATACTTCATTATTACTTGCAGTTGGTCCTTACAATTGGGTTTGTCTTGACAGGCCATTTAAACATTCTCCCCAAATCTAGCATTCTGCATAATTCCTCTCCTTGCTATACAGACTGTTGCCTTTAAATTTCCTTTCCCTATATCTCTGGGTGCAGAAAAGAAATGCAAGCAAAAATGTATTCTTATTATTTATTTATTATTTAAATTTATTAGAGCCACCCAACTCTAATGGACTCTGGGTGGAGTATAACCCTCCCCCTCCCCCCCAAAAGCCATAAAAAATCTGGAAAAACCAAGAATGATTTTGCCCTCTGACCTGAAACGCATAAGGAGTGTTGTCCACACAATACACTCTTAGACTGTAATCCAGTGAGTTGCAAGACATACAGCCAAAGACGGCTACTTTCAGTTCTTTAACAGAACAATCAGTCAGCGGCTCCCCAATGAGAGCATAAGTTCCAAAGGAGTCCAAAAGGATGTGACAAGCATATGGGTCCAGGAGGCAGTAACAGGAAGTGGTTTCGTCCTCTACAGACATCACTTCCTGGATGTATCAGAACATTAAACCCAGAAAGAAGGAAAAGAAAAGTTACTTGGCAGAAAATGAATTACATTAAAATAGGTTCCATACAAATTCTGTTACTCACTTTGCATTTTTTTAAAAATATGAGCTTGGAACCAACTTACTATATACGCTATAGGTGGAGTATTTTGGTGGCCAGAGCTCCCTTAAAAAATTTTGGCAGGTGAAGAAGTGCACTTGCTAGAGTCAGGATTTTCTCTCTTTTCTCAGAGTTGGGGGAAGGTGATCTTTATTTAACTTTCAACTATATTAAGCTAATTTTAGAGTTTATACTTCTGTTTCCATGGGTTCACCACTTCAGTATGTTGCTCACTGTAGGTAATTGTAATTAGAGGAATCTTTAGGACTCCCCAAACAAGAGGTTGGTGGCTTCACATGGTCTTGAATCCCCAGTTTGCCTAACCTTGATATAATATGTGTTGATGAAGATACTGATAAATAAATTCATGAGACAGGAAAATAAAGGGTTTAAGAAGAACATTGAAGAATGTTTAGTCACCAGAGCAAACAATGATAAGGTTATATTTGAAAACTGAAACCCAAAAGCTAAAATATATAGGTGGAACTTCTTTTCCTTTTATTGTTAAGTGTCATTAACATCTTAGCAATGACCACCAACTCCTCTGCTTTTCATTAGCTCCATCCTTGCACCTTCATCTATTTCCAAAGAGAATTTTGCTTACCTCCCATTTGCCTGGATGCTTTCTTTTTTTCAAATGGATATTCCAATGCTCAGAGTTCACATCTGCACAATGCGGGATTGTCAAGGCAAATGGGGTGGAGACCATCACTTCTATAGGACCGCAAGTCACTTCTGGACCAAGGAGGATTTCACTGCCTTCCAGCTGAAGGCTTCACATTGGATATATAAGAAATATTGAAAGGGAAAGAAAAACAGCAGAAAATTATTTTTTCCCCCAAAAGTGAAAGTGGATGCTCATTGTATACAATATTTGTCTACCTTCTTTACGGCTATGTTAGCATTTGTGCTTGCTCAGTTGTAACAATTAATGCCTTTAAAAAATATAACAAAATCTCAGGGCTGTAGCCATGAGCTAAGCACAAACAAGGCAGGGAAAAAATGAGAGATAGGTAAGTAAAGAAAATGGTGTATACGTTGGACAAAATCCATCCTATATACCATTCTTTCACAACCATGCAGTTTCCAGATGCACTGAGACTACAACTTTCAGAATTCCTAGCCAGTATTGCTACAGTTTCTAGGGATTCAGGAACCATAGTACTACATCTGGGAAGGCTGATCTACACTGAGAGCACTCTCATTCTCTGAGGGCTGACCCATATATAGCCAATGCTTACTATCCACACAGTACCTAAAGGTGTCACCAGATTCCAGAATTGCTAGATTCTAAAGCAGATTCTCACAAAAACAAGAAACAACAGGACAATGATGTTAACATGGGAACCAGACCCTACAACAAACTGAAATGTCTACTTTGCCCTTGCATTTACACAAACAATACCATATGGTTCCCAACAACTCCATATACAAGATTAGAGGCAACTTCACATGGGCTTCTTCTAATGTGATATATGTTATCATCTACCAGTAATGCCCGTCTGGATTTTACATAGAACAAACAGGTCAGACTTTGTGCAAAATAACTAATGGACACAAGTTTGAAATCATGACTCGAAACAAGGACCAAGATTTATTTATTTATTTATTTATAAAATAATTATTTATGACTATGTATCTGACATAGTGATCCTAGGTGGCTCACAGCAACCAATGAAAGAAACCAGATAAAAACACTTCCACCAAGGCACCAGAACCACCCATACTCTTAACCCCGACTCAACCCCATCTGACCCCAATACATGGAGAAATAGGCAGGTCTTCACAGGCTTCTGGAAGGCTAAAAGAGTACCCCCCCCCCCATTTCAGGTGGAAGGCTATTCCAAATGGCCAGGATAGCTATGGAGGAGGCATGCCTCTGAGGTCCCACTAGGTGACTACATGTAAAGGAAGGGACCTAGAACATGCCCACCCTATCAAATCTAGCGGGAGAGGCAGATACCCTCAGGGTGTCAGGAGAGATGATTCCACAAATAACCTTCAAAATATCAGAGCATTTCAACCTCCCAGGACACTCTATTACAAATCTCAAAGTAGCCATTTTGAAAAAAAAAAAAAAAGGTGATAGGACAATCAAGTGAGAGATAGCCCAAAAAATGTTAATGTATGTTTAGCAATCTTGAAAGATCTCAACAAACATAATGGGTTTTTAACACATTATAATAGTTAATTGATAAGGTACTTGTAATCTGTTTGCACATGTCATCTGCATCTTCATAAGCACCGTGTTTCCCCCACTCTTCCCCCCCCCCAATCTAATTCCTATGTCAGTGTAGCCATTCCATGCATCTGATGAAGTGAGCTGTAGCTCATGAAAGTGTATGGCTTTCAATAAAAAAGGTGCTACAAGACTTCTTCTGATTTTTAGTTTAGTTTTGTTTGTCTTTTTAACAAAACATCAGAACACTGTAAGGACAATACAGTGTGTTTAGTGATTATGAAATGTTAACTAATAGGGGAGTCAGTGGGATCATAGGTTAGGGGCAGAACAGAATATCTTGGAAGAGGGCAGGTTTGACTGGATCTCTGCACAGGCACGTTCCACACTGCAACATTTTGTTAGAAGATCCATTTGTCAGGCCTTGCCTCCACCTGTTTTCTTCTCTTATCAATTTAATATTGCTTCCTTATCTCTATTCTGAAACTAAATGCTCCCTTTAGGCTAAATAGAAGCAAGCTCTAGTTTTAAGTGATAGGACCGCAATGAGATTTTTATTTATTTATTGTCGGTGGGTGCTAAGAGTAATATGTTAGAGCTGCTACGAAAGGAATAAGATAATTATGGCTCAACAATATATCCTCTCACAAATTGTCTCTTTCTACTATGACTTACTGAGTTTGAAAGCATTTCTGATCTGACCCAGAACGAACCTAATGGGTAACAGAATGCAAGCTCATATTAAGTTATAAAATAACTGATAAGAACTCTTTCTATATTTCAGGCCTAAATTTAGAACCATTTCTTATAGATGTTTTCCTTTTGTTAAATGTTAAACAAATAAATCATTTCACACTGGAAAAAAAAAAAAAAGTGAAACAAAACACCATCACCATCGCCCCAGTCCCTTGAGTTTTGTGATTTATATATTACTTTGAATAAATTGCAATACATTTTAATGTTCTGAGGAAACCAATCCTGTAAATCTAACTGAACTGTCAGGATGGGGAGAGAAAGAGCAAGAGAGAACAATGAAAAATTAGATACAACCCCAGTATAGCAGCTTTTTGGAGAGGAAAATAAACAATCTATTATACTTAGATATGTGAGAAGAAAAGACTAAGTTAAGGAATAAGAGGGAACGAGCTTGTTGGACTCCAATTTCCATTACCTACAGCATGACCAATAACCAGGATTAATGACTAGATGGTCACAAGTCCCCCATCTATGGCTGAGAAACCATAATGGGAGGTGGGGATGTATCTCTCCTTTGCTTGTGAGCACTCCAGAGGCCTCTATGAGAACCAAGGACTAACGATGAAACATGGTCTGATCCAGCAAGGCTGTTCTCACGTTCTGAAATTTTCTGAGGAGTTAGTGCAAGTCCTGGCATTAACTTCTCAGAGATTTCAAGACCTTGAAGGGCCTTGTTAAATTTCACATTCTCTACTTTCAGCTTTAGTGTAAAAACATAAGTTATTTCCAGAATTGCTATCCTGGATCAAATCAAAATATTTTCAATATTGATGGGCTGAATAGGCCATTTAAAAGGGGGGAAAATGGGGGGGGGGGGGAGGAAAAAGCATATGATACACGCCTTCAAAAGATGCTTATTAAAAATGATAATATGGGTCTATTGGAATGTAAACATCTTGGTCAAAAAATTTTGGCCTTGGATAGAGTAACTGTATAGAGACAGTATATAGAACAGAATAGAGTAGAGTATATGCAGTAACTATATATAGAGAGAGTAACTATATACAGTGGAACCTCAGGTTACGAACGCTTCTGTTAACGAACTTTTCGGGTTACGACCAGCTCCAGCCGCAAAATTTTGCTTCGGTTTGTGAACTCCGCCTCAGGGTACGAACAGGATATGCGGCCATTTTCCCTCCCGTGACA